GGAGGGAAAGGAGGAAGGAAAGATGGAGGGAGGGAAAGAGAAAGGAGGGAAAGGAGGAAGGAAAGATGGAGGGAGGGAAAGAGAAGGGAGGGAAAGGAGGAAGGAAAGATGGAGGGAGGGAAAGAGAAAGGAGGGAAAGGAGGAAGGAAAGATGGAGGGAGGGAAAGAGAAAGGAGGGAAAGGAGGAAGGAAAGATGGAGGGAGGGAAAGAGAAAGGAGGGAAAGGAGGAAGGAAAGATGGAGGGAGGGAAAGAGAAGGGAGGGAGGAAGGAAGGAAGGAAGGAAGGAAGGTCCACATCCCTCCATCACCCTCTTTCCATGAACTTCTGGGATCTGAGATTTCTGCCCAAATTCACAGCTCAGAGGCCAACGGGCACAATGAATTCCCCATTGAGAAAAAGGGAATGAATAACTCAGTGGTGGCGAACCTATGGCACGGGTGCCAGAGGCGGCACTCAGAGCCCTCTCTGTGGGCACTCGCGCCGTCGCCCCAGTCCTAGGCCTTCAGCTGGGTTTTATAAAACCTTTTCGCTTTAGGCCTCCGCCGCCGTGTGCAAAAAAAAAAAAAGGTCCAATCAATCAGTCAATTTCAACTTCTCGCGGGGAAAAAAAAAGTTCTTGCAAAGTTGGAATTGATTGATTGCACTTTTTAGTCCCACCCAGTCTGCCGTTACCACGGCAGCCATGCCCAGCCAATGGGCCACACCCACCCAGCACCCGACGATGCATAAGTGGGTTTTGGGTTGCAGTTTGGGCACTCGGTCTCTAAAAGGTTCGCCATCACTGGTCTAACTGAAAAAACAGAAGGCGCATTTTAAATCGTTTGCCCCTGTTAACCTAGAAGCATTGGGGCACCTTCTGGAAACATTCGAACCATCTAACTTTTGTAGACCCTCTTTCATCTTTAGAAGAAAGCTGGGCCCCTCCCCCACCTTTTGAAGATGCTCACCCAAAGACCCCTATTTTCTTTTTTTCAAGAGGCGTCTGAATGGGGCGACCCAGGGAGGAGATGGCTTGGGGAAAGACTGGGCCATAAGATCTTCAGAGGTTTTCTGAGCTGTTTCCATACCCCCCCACCTCACTTTCCTCTCCTACCCCCACCCCCCACCCCACGCCACCTGTCCCCGTTTCTCCAGCTGGATGCCAGGGAAACGTTGGGCAAAGGAAGACCTGATAAAAAACAAAACAAAACCAAGAAGCATCATTTAGTGAGATGGTGCTTCTTAGGCACAAGAAAGAATGGATGGAAACTCATCAAGGAGAGAAGCAACCTTTGAACAGAGAATAGCCCTAGGAAGGGGGGGTAAGGGGGGAAATAACTAGCCTGTGACTTCAAAGCATATTTAGTCTTGTTTGCAAGTGTTAAATAGATATTTGTGTAGAAATTCTTGATCTTAAGATTTGAAAGTAACTACTGGGGAAAAATCATATGAGGAAATTGTGAGTATAACCTGGGAGAAAAATTACATATACCCATTGAATTTTTCGAAACTATGGACTTCTGCATTAACTATATCTATTGATAAGCTTATGGTGAATATTGATTGTTGTAAAATATAAGGCAGTGATGGCGAACCTTTTAGAGACCGAGTGCCCAAATTGCAACCCAAAACCCACTTATGCATCGTCCAGTGCCGGGTGGGTGTGGCCCACTGGCTGGGTGTGGCCCATTGGGTGGGCGTGGCTGCCATGGTAACGGCAGACTGGGTGGGACTAAAAAGTTCAATCAATCCAACTTTGCAAGATCTTTTTTTTCCGCGAGAAGTTGAAATTGACTGATTAAACTCAGACCTGATGCTTATTAAAAATTATAGGCCCATCTCATTACTAAATTCGGACTATAAGATTTTTATGGCCGTAATGGCTCAAAGACTTGAAAGATTCCTAGTAGATTTTATACACTCAGATCAAAATGGTTTCTTATCTAAAAGATACATAAGAAATAATGTTAGGATTGTTTTGGATGTATTGGAGTATTTGAGGTCCACACTGAAAAATAAATTGGTTTAATTTTTCTTGATTCACAAAAAGCATTCGACAACGTGAAATGGGATTTTATGCTCAATCAATTGGTGTATATGGACTTTGGGGAGAATTTTATAAATATGTTTAAATCAATCTATTCCAAACAGGCAGCCAAAGTAATAATTAACGGAGAAACAACTGAAAGCTTCCAAATTCAAAAAGGCACAAGGCAAGGTTGCCCATTATCACCATTATTGTTTGTACTGTCCTTGGAGGTACTAACTACTCACTAAGTCTTTCTACTTGTCTAGTTTCCTGATCTCTAATTCTCTCAAATGTTTAAAATGCAAGCCTTTGCAGACAATCTTGTTTTTGTTTTCATAATCAAAGAGCCAATACAATCAGGGACAAGATTGATGGAAGTACTGAGTAAATATGGGGAAATAGCAGGCCTAAAGATAAATAAAGAAAAAACTAAAATGCTTGTTAAGAACATGACTAAAACACAGAAAAATGAATTAGTTGACAGAATAGGCATCTAGACCACGAAGAAAATATTTAGGGATACAACTAACAGCTAGATGTGCTACACTTAAAAGAGATAATTATGATAAATTAATGGAACAGATTAAAACTGACTTAGATATTTGGACCGACCTGCAGCTCTCTTTTATGGGTAGAATTGCCCTAATCAAAATGAAAGTGCTACCTAAACTTTTATTTTTGTTTCAATGCATACCCATTAAATTAGATAAGAAATTCTTTCAAAACTTTAATCAAATCATACTCAAATTTATTTGGCAAGGGAAAAAAGCAAGGATCAAATTAAAATTACTGCAAGATTTGAAGGAAAGGGCCATAGTATTATTATGGGTGCGGGATTGGATACTATTGAAAAACAGGAGACTATTAAGTCTGGAAGGTCATGATTTGCAGATAGGATGGCATGCCATGTTATGGGATCAGAAATATAAGGCCCACAAATACTTTTGGAGGCACTACATCAGACGAGCTCTAATAGACATATGGGTTAAAACTTGGCAACCAAATTATATACAAGTCCCTAGCTGGATTTCAACATTAGAAATGCATATGCACCCAAAGTTTATACAATTAGGGAAAGTTATAACATATAAAAATGTATTGGATGAGAAAGGGGAACTGAAATCTAGGAAAAATCTACAAGATGAAGGGATAGAATTAGAATGGTGGGCATATCTTCAATTACAGTCAAGATATTGAAAAGATAAAAAAGAGTTGGGTATAAAAATAGAGCCGACAGGGCTGGATAAAATATTATTAGGAACTGAGGATAAGATGATTAAAAAACTATACCACTATCTGCTAGATCAGGCAATGTATGAGGAGCAGGTGAAAGAAACCATGCTAACATGGAGCAGGGATCTCGGTCTTAATTTTGATCTGCACATCTGGCAAGAATTATGGACAAGAAACAGGAAGCTTACCTTGGCCACCTCCTACAAGGAAAATCTCTACAAAATGTTTTATAGATGGCATCTCCCACCCATAAGGTTAGTTAAAATGGGTCCAAACCTTTCATCTACATCAGGGGTAGTCAACCTGGGCTCTTTTATGACTCGTGGACTTCAACTCCCAGAATTCCTGAGCCAGCCATGCTGGCTCAGGAATTCTGGGAGTTAAAGTCCACGAGTCATAAAAGAGCCCAGGTTGACTACCCCTGATCTACATGCTGGAAATGCAAATTGGCAACAGGGACCTACTACCATATGTGGTGGGAATGCCCAAATGCTTGTGATTTTTGGAATAAGATAAAAAAAAATGGCTGGATAAAATATTAATGATAAGAGATAGAGCTAAAACCAGAACTTTTCCTATTGGGCATAACTACATAGAAATACGACAAAGGAATATTTTCCTGATGCTACACATTCTCACTGCTGCTAGATTGGCGTATGCACAAAGTTGGAGGAATAAAGGAACCTCTACAGAAGAAGAGATTTTATACAAAATATTATCGTGTGCCGATATGGACAGGCTCACAATGGAAATGAAGGACAAGACTGAGTCAGATTTCTTCAAAATCTGGGACAAATTCTACTATTGGTGTGAATCAAGGAGGACTGTCCAGGTTATACTCTAGTGTTAAGATAGAAATACATATAACTTTAGGTTAATAAATAGAGAAATGAATTAGATATTGTATAGAAAAATACATATGTATATATAGAAATAAAGATTTATATGTAAGAAGAGGAACAAATTGTTAGAAATAGAAAAATGTGGGGTAGACCGGGGGTAGACAGCATCACCACCAGATGGATCCGTAGCTGGCTGACTGGCCGTACTCAGCGTGTGGTCCTCAATGGAACCGCATCTACATGGAGGGAAGTATATAGTGAGGTGCCCCAGGGCTCTGTTCTGGGCCCAGTGCTCTTCAACATCTTCATCAACGATTTGGACGAGGGGATAGATGGGGAACTCATCAAATTTGCAGACAACACCAAGCTGGCAGGAATGGCCAACACTCCAGAAGACAGGCTTAGGATACAGAGGGATCTGGACAGACTTGAACACTGGGCACTATGTAACAAAATGAAATTCAATGGTGAAAAAAGCAAGGGTCTACATTTAGGCAAGAAAAACCAAATGCACAGGTATAGTATTGGGGGTACCTTGCTCAATAGCAGTAACTGTGAGAGGGACCTCGGAGTCATAGTGGACAATCACCTAAATATGAGCCAGCAGTGTGCTGCAGCTGCCAAAAAGGCCAACACAGTGCTAGGCTGCATTAACAGAGGGATAGAATCAAGATCACGTGAAGTGTTAATACCACTTTACAATGCCTTGGTAAGGCCACACTTGGAATACTGCATCCAGTTTTGGTCACCGCGATGCAAAAAAGATGCTGAGACTCTAGAAAGAGTACAGAGAAGAGCAACAAAGATGATTAGGGGACTGGAGGCTAAAGCATATAAGGAACGGCTGCTGGAATTGGGTATGTCTAGTTTAACGAAGAGAAGGATGAGGGGGGACATGATAGCAGTGTTCCAATATCTCAGGGGCTGCCCCAAAGAAGAGGGAGTCAAGCTATTTTCCAAGGCGCCTGAAGGCAGAACAAGAAGCAACGGCTGGAAACTAAGCAAGGAGAGAAGCAACCTAGAACTAAGGAGAAACTTCCTGACAGTTAGAACAATTAACCAGTGGAACAACCTGCCTCCAGAATCAGTGAATGCTCCAACACTGGAAGTTTTCAAGAAGAGACTGGACAGCCATTTGTCTGAAATGGTATAGGGTTTCCTGCCTAAGCATGGGGTTGGACTTAATGGAGAAGAGGATAATATAGCTTTATGGGTTTGCATTGATGGTAGAAAAAGGAGTCTGTTGAAGGAGTCTGTTCTTAATAATCTCACATTCCCAATATGTAATTTTGAGGATAGAGGCTTGACCTAGAAAACAACCCAGATACTTACAGATTCCAAGTGACCAACTAGATTTTGAGAGGGGAAAGAGGTTGATCAGGAGCAAACTTAGTCTGGGACTTCACACAGGATGTTGTTGGTATTATAACTTTATTGCAACTTATGGTCATTGCATTTAATCTATATGTAAAATATATCATGAGATTTCTTAGATTGGAAGGCAGATTAACTAGAAAAAAACAACAGAAGTGACATTACAGATATTGCTAACTATGATTTCTGGCTTTTCTTCTTACTTACTAGGGTTTGTTTTTTTTGGAGCTGCTGGTAGTTGAGGTTCACCCAACTACAACCGAAGAGGTTCTCAGCTTCTTAAAACACTAGCTGAGCTTTTGTGGTGGACATTCAGATTTCATATCATCAATTATTTCATCTCTATAAGCAAAGAATCCCTCGAGAAAAACTAAAATGGATGGAGATGGCCTTTTGGGTTGGATTGAATCATTGCCTTCTTAAGCCATAGTGCAGTGTGCACGGTGTTGTCCTGTGTGACTTTGTCACATTGTGGTTTGTAAATCAAGGCTCATGGCGTAGCATAATGCACCAACCTAATAACCCTATTTGGTGGATTCCATAAAACATGATGATGCGGTCTATGCAAACTCAAGTCACAGAAATGTCAGAGACTCTTTGGCCAAATGTACCAGCCAGCCTGTGTGGTTTTACTTCAAGGTAATCCCCTTGTGTACAGAGGGGTGACTTAATCCCATAAAAAATGAGAGTGTCGCTTAACAAATCTGTGGAAGTGAAGAACATTGAGATGACGATGGGAGGCTTTGGAAATAGCTGCGGATCTTGCTCAACCTCTGAATTTTTTTCTCGCCCGTCCTCCGTTTGGCGTTCAAATGCCTGCAGAGTTTCTTTAGCCCTTTCTCGGGGTCGTTTTGATAGATAGACTGCAGTTTGAGAAGGGAGATGTTGTGTAGGGCCAAAGTCCGCCTGGAGGGCTGGGTGAGGACTTTCTTCTCCCAGAGAGGTTGAAGGGAGGAGTAACATCTGAAGCTGGAACAGGCAATTACCTGCTTTTTTGGGGTCACGGGGTTAATTTTCAAGAAGGTACAGAACTCCTTCAGAGCTAAGGCACAGTCACCTGCCTTGGTGCAGTCCAACTGTCTCTGACGATACATCTTGACTAATTTTTTCAGTGTATAATTTGGGTTTTCAGGGAATTTCTCTCTGATGAAGGGCAAAACATCCAGGAAACCAAAGATGGACTCTTCAAACTGTTTTTCCTTGTTGATCTTTCGAAGGGCATCAAGCAGAGCAGGGAGTTGCATGGACCATAACTTGTATCCCACAAAAATGGGCCTATGGAGGGTGCTGAGATACTCGAGGAACTCATCCAGTCCATCCACACAGACTTTGTCATCTGTGTTTTTGAGGCAAGAAATCTTGACACTGAAAGTGAGAATTTCTTTTCCAAGCGCGACCAGGTGAAGGATATTTCCTGCTGCAATGAAAAGAGAGACTTCATTGGACTGGGCTGATGGATGAAAGTTATGTATCTTAAAATGTTTCTCATACCTAGCAAAAATAAGAATACAGGTAGTCCTCAACTTACAACAGCATAGTTGGTGACCGTTTGAAGTTACAGCAGCACTGAAAAAAGTGACTTATGATCACTTTTCACACTTATGACCATTGCAGCCTCCCCACGGTCATGTGATTTACATTTGGATGCTTGACAACTGACTCACATTTATGACGGTTGCAGTCACGTGATTCCCTTTTGCGACCATCTGACAAGTCAAGGGAGAGTCCAGATTCACTTAGCAACCATGTTACTAACTTAACAACTGCAGTGATTCTCTTAAGAAATTTAGCAAGAAAAATTGTAAAACAGGGCAAAACTCGCTTAACAGGTTTCTCACTTATCAACATAAATGCTGGGCTCGATTGTGGTCATAACTCAAGGACTACCTGTACTAGGGAGCAGGGAGGAAAAGAGATAAATGCTGAAAGAGCAAATAATACTGAAAATTTCTTCTTGGGTGCTAAATAAAAAAAGATTGTGATCAACTTTTGAGACCCAACATGTAGTAAGAACATTCCTCTACAGAAACAACTGAAGAAGAACCAATGATGGAGTCTTCTGGGGATACCTGCACCCCTGCGAGGCCATTTTCTTAAATTTTGTATTGTATTGTATTAGTTGTTTTTGAACTGGCTGTAAGCCGCCCTGAGTCCTCCGGGAGAAGGGCGGGGTATAAATATAATAAAATTCAAAAATTCAAATTCAAATTCAAAAATGGGTGAGGTGATGGGATCACTCACACTTTGTGGTTACAGGTCATTCTAGGAAACAGAAGATTGGGTTGACCTACTTCAGGCAAAGATGACCACATTTGGCTCCCAGGATACATATGATCAGAAATATCCTGGAGACAAAGGCCACTTACACAGAAACTTGAGGTCAAAGAATATGATTTTGGACTCCAAGCTAAGATCTTCAGATGTGCTGCATGGATACTTCATTGGGCTTTTCTGGCCAACTGGTGATGTAGGATTGATGTCCAGGGGCAAGACTGAGGCCTGCAAAAAAGATGAACAAGCAGTGTGATGCTCTGGAGATCCAGAACTATTTGACTTGTCCCCTCTATCATGATAATTTGGTAAAAAGTGGAAGAATTGAACCATGAAGCTCAATTGTCAAGGGAAGAGTCTTATAACAACTTCAAGAACCAACAGATATATTGCAGTAAATAAATTGAAGTTAAGATCTCCCTTTCACGAGAAGAAATCATATGAAACGGGCCAAATAACCTGTTTTCCCCATCTATGACTCGGTCAGTTGAGATACTGCTATCCCAGTCAACACAGTGAAAGGAGGATCCGTGAATCATTTCTTGAGGTGGCACAGATAGGTGTCCTCAAATTTGTTGGTCTACAAATCATCGGGGCAGAAACTCATGAGGAGAATGCCAAGGAGGTGGCATTCTGGAACTAGGAGACTATGCCCTCACCCCGGTTTCGTCCTCAGTGGATTCTTCTTCTGAAGAAACGTTCATTGAGGAGTCCTCTTCTGCCAAAGAAAGGACAAAAGTGAAGGAACAGCCACAATGAAATCACAATGAAAAGCTACTTCTATGACAACGTTCCATCAAGTCAGCATCAAGTCTTAGTGACCACATAGATCAGGGGTGTCAAAATGCCAGCCCACAGACCGGTTGCATCATATGGAGGCCATGCCCATCCCAGCTCCGGCAATGCAAAAAAAAGTTGCAATATGTTGCAACATGTCACATGGCGAATTTGACACCCGTGACATAGATGGACCTTCTCCGGCAGGTCCCTAACGTAGTCCTCCAGGCCTTTTAAAAGGGCCTCATTGGTCCTGTACTTAGGTCTATCTACCTCAGGGGTGTTCAAACTTGGTCCTTTTACGACTTGTGGACTTCAACTCCCAGAATTCCTCAACCAGGCACACTGGCTGAGGAATTCTGGGCCTGATCTACCTGCTGGTTGTTCTCTTCTTCTCTTTCCTTCCATCTACTTAGCTACTAAGAGTCTTCAAATGCCACAATTTCTCTGGCATCCATAAGTAAACTAGGACTCCCATGCAGAGAAGTGAGAAGGGGAATTTGAGGCAGGTAATAACTGAAGTACAATTTCTCAAGTGAATAATTTAGGATAGTCTCTAGATCATACAGATCCTTTTTAAAAAAAAAAATAGTTTCAAGGAATATTACCACTGATCATCTTAAAATATATGGAATATTGGTTGGCCATATCTCCTCTGAATCATTTCAAACCAAACTTAGATCTCTTTGGGTTCAGAGAATTATATGAAGGACCATCAAACAGGGGTCAAGTTCAACTTAGCCAATATTTTTTTTTCAAATTAACGCCTACTCTATCTCTTCCTCCTTTTTTAAAAAAAAATGCTTTGGGGTAATGTAAGCTTGCATTACAGGTAGACACCAGGAGGCCAGGTGAGTTCTAGTCTCACCTTAGGCATGAAAGCCCACCTCACAAGGTTGTTTTTTTAGGGAAAAATAGGCGGAGGAAGGAGTATTAAGTATGTTTGCCGAATTATTTATAAACATAATAAAGGCAGGGACACCAATAAATAATCTGTTACTTGCCATTTTTATAAGGCATTGATAACTGCTCCTTTAAATAATCAAAAGGTCTTTTCATCAATCATTGTATCATGGCAGCTTTATCTCAGGCCTTCCTTGGAATGAACCTCACCCAGAAAAGAAACTGTCCTTCACACCTCCAAAAAAAGAGTTTCTATTTTATGCATGAACTGAAATGCTCTTGAAATTTCAAGACGAAGCATCCTGGATACAACGCTACCTGGATCAGATAAATCTGAGCAGCCATCAGCAATCCCTGGACCGTCATCTGGGTTTTTGTTGAGGCTCCCTTGACTTCTTGAGACAAAGCCACCACTGGTGGATCCATAACTGGTCCCTGGTTCATTCATCATCAAACAGCTGCAAGACGCTACGGCGGAAGCATTCCATTCCTCATCAGTTAATGGCTCAATTTTGAGAATTTTTGGATAGCTGTCAGTGTTTGTTTCCCCTTCAGCGTTTTTCCTTTTGAGCGGTGACTTTCCGAAAAGTTCCTAGAAGGAAAAAAAAAAAGCCATGATGATATTCACCTGTATCTTGGTACAGGTAATTCTCAACTTACAACCATTCGTTTAGTGACTGATCAAAGCTACAACGGCACTAAAAAAAGTGACATGACCGTTTTTTACACTTATGACCTTGGCCAGTGGTGGCGAACCTATGGCACGGGTGCAAGAGGTGGCACTCGGAACCCTCTCTGTGGGCACACGTGCGGTTGCCCCAGCCTTGCTTCCCCCGTGACCCCCTCCACTCCAGCAGCCCCCCTGAAGGAGAGTCACCCCCGAGCGTGGCCCACGCGGAGCAGCGCAGCCAAAGACATGGCAGCCAGGCAGCGTAGACAAGACTCTGCCCTCACATCCCATCGTGCACAGTTGATGCTGCAGGGCGCGGGCAGAGGGCGTGACCACCATAGTGCTGCTGGGCTGCCTGGGCGATCTGTAGCGGGCCCTGGAGGCGGTGAGTGGTCCTGTGGGCAGGCGGGGNGGGTGGAGCAGGGGCGGGGCCAGTTTTTGGGCACTCGGTCTCTAAAAGGTTCGCCATCACTGACCTTGGCAGTATCCCCGTGGTCACGTGATCAAAATTGGGATGCTTTGGCCACTGGGTCAGTGGCCCCAGGGTCAGGCGATGCCCTTTTGCAATCTTCTGACCGGCAAAGTCAATGGGGAAAGCTGGGTTCACTTAACAACCGCGGTACTAACTTCACAACTGCAGTGGTTCCCTTAACAACCGGGGCAAGAAAGGTCGTAAAATGGGGCCAAACTCACTTAACCAATATCTCACTTAGCAACAGAAATTCTGGGCTCAGTTGTGCTTATAAGTCAAAAACCACTGGAAGTTTTTAAGAAGAGATTGAACAACCACTTGTTTGAAATGGCATAGGGTTTCCTGCCTGAGCAGGGGGTTGGACTAGAAGACCTCCAAGGTCCCTTCTAGCTCTGTTAGTCTGCTGTCCTGTTATTCTGTTACCACCTATACAGGAATTTACACAGTCTAGTACAAAACCTGAATCTTCATTTTCAGGGCCAACGCTGATGTCTTAATATTTTGATTGGCAATAACATTTCCATCTGATAACATGTGCCGTAACTCACAAAACCTAGGCCTTTTAACAAACAAATTCAGAGTTGGAAGGGGCCTTGGAGGTCTTCTAGTCCAACCCCCTACTCAAGCAGGAGACCCTGCACCATTTCAGACAAACGGTCATCCAATCTCTTCTTAAAAACCTTAAATTCCTTGACAAAGGCTCCTGACTTTGAGCTGCCACAGGGTAACATGCCGTCTGTATATAAGATACCCATGCAAGCCTTCTCACCTCTGGAGGCTCTGTTTGAGCTTTAGCTGGATCGGCTTCTGAAGAAGACAGAAAAACCAAAGGGTTAGAAAACTGGGCAGTAGAATGAAAGACACAGTCATAAAAACATCATTCTACAGTTTCTGCTGGTTTATGCCAACATGGTCTCATCCAGAAAGCTAGGTGTTTGGGACCTTGGAAAGAGCGATAATAGATTAAATTCAGCCAGAATTACTAAAGTCGTTCCATGCCAGGACTCTAGCCCAGGGGGGTCTCCAAACTTGGCAACTTTAAGACTTGTGGACTTCTGCTCCCAGAATACCTCAGCATGGCTGGCTGGGGGATTCTGGGAGTTGAAGTCCACAGTCTTAAAGTTGCCAAAGTTGGGCTAGCCTCTTAAAAGGCACTATTAAACTGGCACCTGGTGTTGGTTTGTAGCTCCAGATCCTCTGGGAAAGAACTGGTTGCGCAAAGATCGGTCTACTAGGAGTAGCCACGAGCCTCCATGTTTGTTTGTTTGTTTGTTTATCTATTTATTTATATAAAGTATTTTTAACCTGCCCCCCCCTCTCAGAGAAGGGCTCTGGCTGACGTAAAATAGAAGCAATCAACTCAACATTAAAATCAGAATTAATATAAAAGCTTTAACATGATAAAAACATTATAAAAATAGGCAGGGGAGGTGTTCTCCTGGGGGCAGCCAACTCCACGGTTGTGTGGGTCTCTGTGTTCCCCCAAGTAAGGCCACCCCATTTTCTCTCGCAAAATAGGGAACCCAGTTACTACTCCAGGTTAATGATGGTTTAAAGTTAAAACGGCCCTGGAAAAATGTAAAAAAGATGTTGAGACTCTTAGAAAGAGTACAGAGAAGAGCAACAAAGACGATTAGAGGCTAAAACATATAAGGAACGGTTGCTGGAATTGGGTATGTCTAGTTTAATGAAGAGAAGGACCAGGGGTGACATGATAGCAGTATTCCAATATCTCAGGGGCTGCCCCAAAGAAGAGGGAGTCAAGCTATTCCTCAAAGCGCCTGAAGGCAGGCCGAGAAGCAATGGATGGAAACTAATCAAGGAGAGAAGCAACCTAGAACTAAGGAGAAACTTCCTGACAGTTAGAACAATTAACCAGTGGAACAACCTGCCTCCAGAAGCTCTGAATGCTCCAGCACTGGATGTTTTTAAGAAGAGACGGGACAACCATTTATCTGAAATGGTACAGGGTTTCCTGCCTGAGCAGGGGATTGGACTAGATGACCTCCAAGGTCCCTTCCAACTTTATTATTATTATTATTATTATTATTATTATTATTATTATTATTATTATTATTATTATTACCCGTTCTCAAAGTTACAACCATTCCCACGATCATGTGGTCGTACTTTGGGTGCTTGGCAACCAGCTCACATTTTTGGCAGTTGGCTGCATCCTGCGGTCAACTGCCATAAATTCCATTTGCGTCTTTCCTAGTTTTATTTATTGATTGTGAAATTTATTAGCCCCCCATCTCGTCTCCGACGCCTCTGGGTGGCTTCCGACGAGCAAAGTCAGTGGGGCAAGCCAGATTCACTTAAAGACCACAGGGGTCCCTTTAATGACTGTGGTAGAAAGAATCCTAAAATTGGACCCAGTTCCCTGATGACTCGCTTCATAAATGCATTGCTTAGCAACAGAAATCCCCATGGCGGTTGTAAACCGAGGACTGCCTGCGTATCTTTGCAAAACCTTACCTTCGTTTTTTGTCACTCTGTCGAGCAAAGTTTGAAGTTGGGCCTTGATTTCCAGGAAAGTCCTCATTTCGATTCCCCTTACCGAAGATGGCTGCTTCTTCTTGAGGTCCACCATGGACATTTTGAGGAAAGGATGCATCTCCAACACCTCCTGGCTAGAAGCGTAGAGTTGCAACTTCTCCACCAACCTCTGGCTGGATGTAATTCTCTGGACCACTCCGTCCGTCTCCTGCAGCTTCTTGTTTACCTCTTGCACTTGGTGGCTATGATGGGCTTCTACTTCGGCTAAGAATCCTTTTCTCTTTTCTCTCAGCCACTGGATCATCTGCTCTATCTTCTGCTGGATCAGCTCCGTCATCTCGTTCCTCAACTGTTCCATGTCTCTCGCCAGTTCCTCAAGGCTGCTGTAGGTTTCGTCGTAAGTGTTCTTCTTCTCCTTCAGCTCTGTGCTCATGTTTTGCAATTCTTCTTGCTTGCATTGTATTTCCTGGCTGATGTCACAATGTTGACCCAGGTGCTTGCTGTCCAGTAGGGTGCAAATGGCACACATAGGTTGAGAACATTGCTTGCAGTAGAGGCTGGGGATCAAGAAAGGCAAAGCATATGATTTATGTGTGTGTGTGTGTATTATTGGATTTTTTAAGGGTGGGGAGGGAATAGAATAGGTAGGGTATAACATAGGGTAGAAAACAAGGGTTAAACCAAAGGTAGGGATAGGTACAATAATGGGGTTACCCCCAACAATAAATCAACGCTTTAGCAAGCAGACTGTCATCTGGGTATACATATTGAATGTCAGTAATTAATATAATGCTATGTCAAGATAAATTTATCACAAATCATAAGAATGAGAAATTAACCAATACATATCATTCATTCTAAAAATAACAATAATTGCTAAACCATTAATAGTATATTACTAATTGAATATTATTACTTATGAATACTGATATACTGCTTATTAATTATAATTACTTATACGTAAATTTGAAAATGTAAAAATATTCAGAACAATCAGATAACATAAACGTTGAATAAAAAGTATCATTTACCCTATTTAATTTCATAGCCTTTTCTCATTCTGTCGTCTTGCTAACCATTGGTAGAATTTTTCCCAAGTTTTAAAATAAATTGTGTCTTCTTTCTCTTTGATTTCTAAAGTTAGTCTATCCATTTCTGCACATTCCAATATTTTTGTAATAATAATCTGGTCGGATGGTAGCTTTTCATTTTTCCAAAATTGGGCAAAGCCAAATACTATTCTCGCAGCTGTTAATACATGTAATATTAAGTATTCATTCTCTTTTCCATAATTAGATCCTAGTATTCCTAGTAGAAACAGTTCAGATTTAAATTCTATCTGCATTTTAATCATCTTTTCTAACCATATATGAATCTTATATGATTTTTGACTGGAGCTGCTGTCCATCCCCGGTCACTTCATTTGCACGGGTATCTCAAAACTGGGTCTTTAGCACCCAGTCAAGTCACGTTAGAAACCTGAGCACCTTCAAGCAATGTCACAATCCCATTAAAGAGGACAAAACCATTTTACCTGTTGAGTAATATTTGAAACTACTAGATTAAAACTATGGAGGAAATGCACTATTTACACCATGGAAGATTGGGAGAAATGTCTTCCTAAGACAGGGGTAGGCAACCTTGGCTCTTTTATGACCCGTGGACTTCAACTCCACAGAATTCCTGAGCCAGCCATGCTGAGGAGAAATGGAGAGGTTTCCATGCTAAGCCATGCTGGCTCAGGAATTCTGGGAGTTGAAGTCCACAAGTCATAAAAGAGCCAAGGTTGCCTACCCCTGTGCTAGGAGGAGCAGATGGAGAATAGAAGTGGGATTCACGGCTCTATCTAAGCAGAGATTGGCCTAGTTCAGGAGTAGGCAACCTTGGCTCTTTTATGACTCATGGACTTCAACTCCCAGAATTTCTGAGCCAGCTTGGCCAACTCAGGAATTCTGGGAGTTGAAGTCCACAAGTCATAAAAGAGCCAAGGTTGCCTACCCCTGGCCTAGTTCAATCCAACAAGGCTTGAACAATTGTCCCTAAAGAAATATCCAGATTCATGATTGTCCAAGCTAAGCTGCTTCCCTCATGAGAAATTGGAGACTCATCTGCAAGAATGAGAAATCATTGGGTTATGTATGTGTACAATTTGAGAGCAGGCAACTAAATTTCATTTTTAATGTGTGCCATTGTGCCCACAGTAAAAAAAAAAATGACAATAAAGGCTCTCTATCTATTTCCTGAAACTTTGCTTCGGAGGCTATTCACTCATTGCCTTACGCCACAGAATGTTGTATGAACTGGGACGTATTCTCCAAATCGTGCGGAGTGTCCTTGAAACCCAACTGGGACTTATTTCATTAGAGCTGGGGCCACTTCTCTTCTTCCCATCGTTTTGTTCTATCTTAGCTAGTTAGCTCAAAGCTTCTCTAGGCCTCGCTCCAGATTTCTGTTGGAGCCACAAAGCTCACTGCTTCTTGCTCCAGATTCTAAAACCATCAGCTTTTGGGCAGACAGGAAGGCCAGCCAGTGGGCAACAGGGTGGTGGCTTAAAAGAGGTTCTCCAGTTTGAGAATGAAGCATAGATGGACAACCTACCTTAATATTTGGCTGCTGTGTCCCTCCTTGGAACAAAACATGTTGTTGGGCATTCTGATGGTTGAAAGGAATTCCTTGCAAGATTCTGCCTGGAAGTCCTTCAGCGGCCTGGCTTCGTGACTCTCTTTCTTCAGATATCTCTGGTGGCTTCGAAAGCACAAGAGGCAAAGGAACTCTTTGCAGCTGAAACACCAAAACTCTGCCTCTTTCCTACAGTTGTTACAAACCGACTCTTTGCTCCCAGTGACCTTCTGGTAGAGATCAAAATTGACTTGGAGGTTGGCGAAGAACACGTTATCCTGCTTTTCAGGGGTCTCTGCAAGGTGGACGTACGGAGTTCCACAGATGACACAGAGATCGGGCGGCTTTTCTTCAAGGCACAGGGAGCAGAGATTGTGAAGGCAGAGCAGGAGTTTGGGGTGTGGGACCTCTGAGTGGCATCTGTCACATAGGAGGAACTGTAACTCCTCATTCATCTCCTGTGGAAGGAAAAGATGTGAAAGGAATGTCTAGATCAGTGGTTCTCAACCTTTTTAATGCCGCGACCCCAACCGGTCGTAAGTCGAGGACTAAACCGGTCGTAAGTCGAGGACTACCCAACCGGCCGTAAGTCGAGGACTTTCCCTGCCCCGGAGCGCCACGCATGCGTGGTTCCGCCCCCTGCGATGGCAGAGGCGTAGCTGGCAAGCGGCAGAGACGGAGAAGGCCGACCACCAGCTGGCCCAGCCCAAGGGAGGTAAGGCACCCGCCGGAAAAGGGGAAAAAAATGGCGGACAAAAAAATGGTGGACAGCCTTGCTTGGCGACCCACGTGAAATGGTCGATCGACCCCAAATGGGGTCCCGACCCACAGGTTGAGAACCACTGGTCTAGATTAACCCAACTCAGTTTAATGAATGCAACTGAAATGGAATAATATACAAGCAGGAAATGAAACGCTGCTAGCTGGAACGTGTAGGAAGTTGGGCGTGGTGGAGTACTTGTCCATTTTTCAGCCCCCTCCCATCAGACAATTTTTTTCCTCCATTCTTTCCGAGGAGGGAGGAGAAAGTCAACTGTAAACCAAAAAGCACACAAGGGACCTAACAACACAACTGGAATTAGCTTCCTTGTTTGGTTTCCTTCCAACGCTGTGGATTTGGCTTCACCTTTCGGTAGAAATTCTACGCCCAATCTTGGCCAATCTCAGCAGCTTCCAGATTGGTTGATTTCAAATCCCAGAATTCCCCAGCAAGCATGGCTCCAGCTGAGAATTCTGGGAGTTGAAATCTGGAGGATTGCCAGAAGTCCTGGAGAGTAAATCTTCAACCCATCTGTCCAGTGTTTCTTAACCTCAGCCGGGTGGACTTCAACTCCCAGAATTCCCCCAGATAACTGGCTAGGCCACTAAGGGGTTCCTGGGAGTTGAAGTCCACTCCTCTTTAGGAGGCTGAGGTTGAGCTCAATGGTCCAGTATCAACTGCTTTCTCTAGCTCTCAATAATTGTAAAGGAACCCGTGGGCGACCTTGGGGGACCAAGGGAAGGGAAGCTACAATCAAAGAAGAGAGGCAGGAACCCTCCGTGGCTCTTTGGTCAGAGGAATAAAATTAGGGAGGAACCTCTTGAATAAATCAACCTGCTTAAAGCAGGAAGCCCGTACCTTCAGACCTGCAAGATTCTGTTCATGTAGCCTTAAAATAAAGTAGAGTTAGTGTCAACCCTGCAAACGAATTTGGCTGAAGCCATTTCCACCTCGTTTTCAGTTGCCACAGAGTTCGGAGGGGAAATGAGTATTTTTTAGTTTTTTAGAACACAATGAAGTGTTCTGTGGGAACCAAGGTCATTGCTGACGCTTTTGCTAGGAAGCCCGCCAAAGTAATTAATTGGGGAATGTGATTTATGACATATTAGTGGGGTGGGAAATTAACTTTGTAACATTGTATTAACCTTTGGAGGGAAACTTCAGTCTTGGTTTCACTTTTGAAAGTGCCTGTACTTTGTAGCCAATAAATGTGTTCTTTAAGGAACTCTCCTGCCTTGGAGTTCTGTTGACAATTAGCTCATGTCTTCCTACAGGTAGTCCTCGACTTACAATACTTCATTTAGTGACCGTTTCAAAGTTACAGTAGCACAGAATAAAGTGACTTATGACTGTTTTTTCTCACTTACGACCGTTGCAGCATCCTAGGGATCACGATTAAAATTCAGATGCTCGGAAACTGACTTGTACTTATGACGTTTGCAGTGTCCCGGGGTCATGTGATTCCCCTTAACGGCCGTGTTGCTAATTTAACAACTGCAGCGATCCACTTAAGAACTGGGGCAAGAAAAGGTCGTAGAACGGGGCAAAATCCACTTAGCAAGCGTTTCCCTTAGCAACATACAATTTTGGGCTCAGTTGTGGTCGTAAACCGAGGACCCCCTGTATTTCCTGTCTGGTTTGGCTTCCACCCCGTTCACTAAAGAAGAGAAGTGAAGTCTGGCTTTCCAACTGTGGCTGACCCTCACTCCTCTGGGCCCCGGCCATGCTGGCTGGGCTTCATGGGACATGTAGTCCTGCCGGATCTGGAAGACACGGATTCCTCCTGAAACGCTCCGGGTGAGGCATACCCGGAAAAGCGCAGAACCGTGAAGGAAGAAAATAAAGGTGTGGTGGAAAAGAAGGAAGGAGGGAAACTGGGTGGGGAGAGGCTGAATATGGGGGGGGGGGTCACGGATCTTTACGAGCCCTTCTCCACGGGGCAGCCCCCTGCCTCCCAAAGCCAGTGTCTTCCCTCTCACTCCGCAGGTCCCACTTTTAAGACTCTTAGGTGGGACCAAGTCTTTTTTTTGGGGGGGGGCTTCTTCCTCTCCCCCTCCCCCTCCCCAAACTGGGGGGCAGTGTTCCGCATTCTGGCCCAATTAAGTCTCTGCTCTCTCTCTCTGCTCCGGAGTTGCCCGCCCTCCGCGTTACTTCGGAACAAACCGCGGAAACCTTCCCCGACGCTTACCGTCAAATGGGAGGCGGACGGCTCCGGCGCCGAGGCGGCTTCTTCGGCCATCGCAGCTCGTTAGCAACGCGGGCAGCCGCCCCAACTTCCTCCCGTGGGGAAGAGGAAGCCTTCGTTCCCCGCGATCTGCGAAACCTAACTTTCGGTTTCCCCGCAACTCTAAGCCGCCCTGACTCGCGAGAGGCGGAAGCCTGTTGCGCGCTCCCACCCCTCCCCTCCCCTCCCCCCGTCAGGAGGATTCAGACGTTTCTCGGGTGGGGGGCGCTTCCTTGCAAGGGCGTGGGGGTGGTGGTGGTACTCC